TTAGACATTGTTCCATGTAGCTTCACAACATTACCTTATTTACCTTTTACCAAAGCCCAGTGAGAAAAGACTTATTATCCGCATCTGGTTCGAGAATGTACAGAATTCCTCCCATTGTAGTCTTCTCTCTCTAGAAGCCTCAGTGGCACTCATTGTGTCTGATTAAAGTTTCTAAGGCATCAAATACACTGTCAAATCAACCACCTTAGGTGACAATCAACTTTGCTTCTTCTCAGCAGAGTTTAAGAGCTTAAGTGCCAGGCATTTTGGATTGCTCAAAAAAAAAATTTATGGAAGCAATCAATGGCATAGGAATCCTCTGGGCTACATTTCCTTGGTCAGGTGGTGGCCTGAAGCACTTGAGGTCTAGTGTGTGAGTACAGGGTAGAATCAAGGAAGAGGAAGAAAGTTTCCCCTCCACACTGCACCGCACTCTCCCCAACCCCTGACCTTGGCCAAGATGCTTCATGTCTCTGAGCTCAGTGTTTGTTCTTCTTTTCTCTCTCTTTTTTTTCTGTCTCTATCTCTACTTCTCCCCCGCCCATATACTTTTCCCAAAACATTAATAAGGGCACAAATGATGTTACCCTACTTTTATTACCTGCCATGTGCATCAGCAATATTTAATAAACATTGCATTGTCAAAGATTTTGCTCTCAGTCCCCACCTTTGCTACTGAGCCTTCCGACCTACCAGGGACTCTTTCTACCACATGGTTCTTCTGCCACATTCTCCAAGTTTTACTTGAAGAGCCGCAGGCCTTGCCATGTCTTCAGTCTCCCTGCCCTGATTCTTCAGAAGGGAGCCTTTTTGCCATTCGCTGGTGGGGGACCAGCCCCTTCAGTAGGAATGGGGGGGTGTGGGGGTGAGATGTGGCAGCAGTGGCCTGAGGAGCCAGCTGATGAGGGGAGCCTGGTCCCCCTGCCCCAGGCACAAGAGGTGAGGGGAGTGGGGGAGTCTTGGGAGAATCAGCTCTGCTAGGATATCAGCATCATCTTCACCCTCCTTCCCTTTTAAGGATAATTTGCCCCCAGGTCATGCAGATTGATTCTCCCTTTGACCTGGGAGCTTCACAGGCACTTATGGAATGAATGAGTGAACTATATCCTGCAGAACCAAAGTGTGAAAGAAGTTAGTAAACATGACGAAGTGAGGCCAGAGGTTATGGGAACTGCGTGTAGACTAGCCCCAAATGCCAGCAAGCTGAAGAAGTAGAGGAACAAGGGCTTTCTAGGAAGGATGGTGGCCCACCTTCCCTCAGGTGCTTCTGTCTCCAGCTTCAGTCCTCCTCACCTTCATCTAAAAGCCTCCTGCAGTGGCTCCTCCCAGCCCCATTTCCCAGACACTGCTTAGATTGGACCCTCAGTTGCTTCAGCCCTCCTGGGTGACCCATTTTCTACCCAAAACAAGTTTCACATGTCTTAGCTCCTTCAATCTTCTTACTGTGAAAGCTTTCCACTGTCCCTGCAGACTGGCCATCCAGCCAGACTGGGATCTTCCCTCTCATACCAGAACTCCCTCCTCAGTCCCATCTTTGTTTCTGAGGTTCCCTCTTGTTCCATCCAGCTCAGGGCTGTGCCTCCCCTCCCCCACCTCCATCAGAGTAGGTCAGCCTACAGCACATTCCCAGGTGCAGTTGCCTGGTTCCACAGCGCCGTGTTTCCTAGCTGTGTGACTTGGGCCAGGTTCTTCCCCTCATTGAGGTTTCAGTTTCCTCCTGTGTAAAATGTAAGTAACAAGGGTACCTACCTCATAGGTCAATGGGTAAGTTAAATGAGACAATGCATGTGCCTGGCACGTAGGAAGTGTCCAAAGTGTTATTATTATTATCCCCCTATGGTTGAATTTCTTACCTCTGAACCCCTGGAGTGCTATCTATGCCACTCATCTGGCACTTAATGATCTAGTAATTGATGATATCTTTTATTAGCTATTCATATTGCTTAAGTTTGTGTTTATGTGTATGTTCAACTTCCTAATTAGATTTTAAGCACCTCTAGGGTTGAACCAGTTGCCTTCTTTATATTCCCCAACACAGACTAGCCAAGGGCTAAGTAAAAAAAAAAAGGCATGAATGAAAACTTATTAAAATGAGTAATAAAATGTTCAATGCTCATGTAGTCCTTTTACAACCATGATTTCCCTTAATCCTCACAACAATCCTATGAGGCATGCACTGTTATTCCCATTTTACAGATGAGGAAACTGAGCTTCCTAGAGAGGGAGTCACTTGCCCAAGTTCCAAAGGTCAAGGCTCTTTCCTGCCTCGAAGTGGCCTCCTTCAGCTTTCCAAAATTTTGCCAGTGCCTTTCTCTTGTGCTCTGATGCCAAACACATCTTCTCTGCCAGCCCAAGTCAACATCCTTGCCAGCTCTTTCTTTCCACGTGCTCATGGGGAGAAATGTTAGAGATACATCATTAAATGAAAATAGCTGGTCATGAAAGAGCAGGGACGTGCACACACCCCCAGTTGATACATGTCCCCCTAGAAAGCAGGCTGTATAGGTGTTTATGTGACCAGTCCCTGGTTGTCTTAGCGGGTGGGATCATGAGTGATTTTAGCTTTCTTCTTACTTACCTATAGTTTCTACTGCAAACACTTATCACCTTTGTAAATAGAGATAAAACAATACAAGTTTTGTTTCTTTAACGGAGATGATGCAGTGCCTTCCGAAGTCTCTCTGCTCCCTTGCCCCTCCCAGTTTCCTTTTACTAAAAGATGCTCCCAATCAGAGACAACCTTTTCCCTCTCTTTCCTTCCTCCAGGCGCTGAGCCAGGTGGGCAGAGGCCCATCCCTGGCACTTACTAGTCACAGGTTTGAGATGCGGGGGAGGGTTGGGGAGGAGAAGTGATGGGTGTGGGGTGGGGATTTGGGGAATCTTTTATCCCCTGCATCTCAAAGGCTGACAGGCCCTTGAGGGGTGGAAATGACTGGTAATTAGTGAGCCTTCCCTGCGCACACACTGAAGACACACTTCACAGTCTGCACGACCTCTGCGGCCCGGTGAGCCTTTGTTATGTAGATGCTTTTAATTGGGTGAGTCACTTTCTGCATACAGCTTTGGGAGAGCGCACCGTGGGCTGTTTCAGGGAGGCTTCCTACCAGGGGTTCTAGCCCAGAAATCTGGGGGGGGGGGCTGGCAGCAATGGCCTCTAAGTGACTACACTCCCACCCGTGGAAGTGGTCCCCGCATCTGAGTCAGCACGGTGAACTTTTAGGGGGAGCATTAAGCGATGGCCTTTGTCATCCTTCTCCCTCCCTACCTCCTCTCTTTCCTAGTTTATAGATCGCCTGTTCTGGGCAAGGCTAGGAATATTTTGAGATACAAACTGGGTTCCCTACATTCAAGGAACTGACCACCTCGTTGGGAAGATAGCAACAGAAAGAAATGTACATGATAGCACCAAAGAGCAAGCATCAACACCAGGTACACAGGAGAGGCTTTACAATGATATTTCAGACCTGGGAGCAGTCACTGAAGGCTAGAGCATTGGAGAACACTTGTCAACAAGGTGGGCAGCTGGGCAGCACTTGGAAGGTGTATGGGAGAGGGATTCTCAGGACAAGGAGACTTTCTGAACACAGGCATCGCCAGGTGTCTGTCACACCTGGAGTCATGGCTCCCAGCACACTGAGCTTGGCTCAGATGTCAGATGCAGAGTACAGTGGGGGAATGATTCACCAGGTCCTCAAATATGCCGCATTTACAGTATTGTCACATGCTGCCGTTGATCCTGGGTGTCCCATCTGCTGCTTTCCTTAGAAGAGGGCTCAATGTGTGTAGACTTGTAAGTGCATCAAGTCCTCCCTTTCCCTCCAAATCAGGTATTCTGGTGAATGGCACGATCTTGGCTCCCCCATCCTCAAATTGCTAGCAGACATCAAGTTGTGACCATTGGGCTGCAGTCTCTTTCCAGTCTCTCCCTTCAGGCCGTCAACCCTTCATGGGAGTGGGAGTACACTTCCAGAGCCTGTGAGGACATTTTCCTGTCCCTGCCGTCCCCCTCCTAATTCATCCTCCCCGTAACTGTGAGACCAGTTGTGCTAAAGCACAAGTCTGACCACTCTACTCCTATTGTGCTCACAGTGAAGCCTCAGTAGCTCTTCACGGTCCAGTCCTTGGCTGCCTCTTGCTCTCTCCCCATCTGCAAGGTGACCAGTGACCTCCTTGTTGTTACAGCCAATGGTGAATTCTCTGTCCTCAATTTATGTGACCTTGAGTAGCATGGGACAAGTTAATCACTCCTTCTTTCTTTTATTCCAACATTTTATTTATAAAAATTTCTAACTTATGAAAAATGTAAGTAACAGGGTAGTGAATGCCCAATCCCCTTTACCTAGACTCTTTGGCTTTTAACTTGTTGCCATGTAACGTGTACCCACCTTCCTTCCTTCTTGCACACACACTTTTTTTCTGAAACATTTGCAAGCTGAAGGCATCTTGGTGTTTATCTTAATTTCTTCAGCTTGTATCTCCTCAGGAGTAGAACATTCTCTTATGAAACCACAGTACAATTAGCACATCTGAGAAGAGTGATGTCAATTTAATATTATCAGTAATATCATCAAATGGTCCTAATTTAAACATTCCCAGTTGTTCTTAAAATGTCTTTTTAGCTTTTTTCCCCAGTTCCAGTAGCCAGTAAAGGATCATGCACTGCACTTGGCTGCCATATCTCTTTAAGTCCATTTTAATCTAGAACATTCCTCCCTGCCCCTTTTTTACCTCTCATAATATGACATTTTGGATAGTCTAGTCCCATTGTCTTTTTTTTACTTATTTTATTGAGGTACAGTTGATTTACAATATGATATTATTTGTAGGTGTACAACATAGTGTTTCACAAGTTTAAAGATTACACTCCATTTATAGTTATCATAAAATGTTGGCTATATTCCCTGTGCTGTGCAATATGTCCTTGCAGCTTGTTTGTTTTATACATGGTAGTTTGTACTTTTTAATCCTCTACCCTGATCTTGCCCCTCCCTGCTTCCCTCTCCCCACTGGTTACCACTAGTCTGTTCTTTACTATCTGTGAGTCTGTTTCTTTTCTGTTATATTCACTAGTTAGTTTTATGATTTAGATTCCATACATGTGATAATGTACAATATCTGTCTTTTTCTGTATGACTTATTTCACTAACCTTAAAACCCTCCAAGTTAGAACCATTGTCTTGAAGAATGTTTCACTTTTTGGATTTGTCTGTTTCCTGACAAGAAGATTCTGGCCAAACATTTTGGCAGTAAAGCATGTGGGTGGTGTGCACTTCCTATGGTATCACGTCAGAGGCCCATGTCATCAGGTCTTCTCACCCTTGGAGATGCTAAGTTTGAGCTCTTGGGTAGGTTGTGGCCACCAGATCCCTTCATGGAAAAGGTGCATTTTGCCCTTTGTAATTAATAGGCAATCTGTGGAATGCCACTGTGAGACCATGTGAATTTCCTGTTCATCCAGTGCTTTCAACATCCTCTAATGGTCCTGGGCTGAATTGGTCATTATGTTGGAACATCATCTCTTTGGATCACTTTCTTTTCTTGGTTTTTAGTGCCAGACTTGCGTTTGGTTCTTCCTTACCTCTCTAGCTGCTCATTTTCAGTCTCTCTGTAGCTCCTCCCATTCTCTTTGACCTCTGACCGTTAGTGCTCTAGGGCTCGATCTTCAGATCTTTTTCATCCTCTCTTGTGGTTTTAAATGCTATCTAAAAGCTGAGGACTCCAAAATTTCTAACTCTGGTACAGATCTGTTTCCTTGACATTCCCCTTGTATGTCTCAAAGTTACCTCAAACTTCTTAGGTCCAAAAGTGACCCCCTGATTCCCCCATCCCATATTTTGCTCATCCATTTCAGTACGACAGCTCCATCCTTCTGGTTGCTCAGGCCAAACTCTTGGAGTTACCTTTGACTCCTGTGTTTCATACACTCAACATGTCAAAGCCACCAGGAAATTCTGTGGATGCCATCTTCAAGGTGTATCCAGGTCTGTTTGCTGTCTCCAGGATTTCTGCCATAGCCTGTTCTCTGGTCTTCCTGCTTCCGCCCTTCCTTGTCCCTGGGCTGTTCTCAACATGGCAGCCAGAACAATCTTCACACAATGTAGGCCCTCTGCTCAAGTCTCCCCATTTCACTTGGGGTGTATGCACAGGTCCTAACTTCAGTCTATCAGGTGATGTATGATCTTACCCCTGTCCCTGCCCCATGATTTCATTTACTATTACTCTCCCCTTGCCCACTCCACCCTGGCCACTCTGACATCCTTACTGTTTCCCAAACCTGCCAGGCAACCTCCTGCCCCAGGGCCTTTGCACTTGCTGTTCTGCCACCTAGAACATTTTCCCCCTAGATGTCCACCTAGCTCTCCCTTATTTCCTACAGGTCTTGGCCTAAATATCACTTTCTGAGTAGGGCCTTCAGATCCTACTATTACCCCTGGCACTTCTTATTCCCCTTCCCTCTGTATTGTTCTCCACGGCACTTATCATCACTGACATACTCTGTATTTACTTGTTTATTATCTGTCCCCCGACTGAAAGTAAGCTCCACAAGGATAGAAACTTTGTTTTCTTTGCTGCCCTGTTCCCAGATTAGTTTCAAGCATACAGCCAGCATTCAATAAATATTTTTGAGTGAATGAATTGAATGAATGAATTTCCAGTACCATAGCATAAGCTGTAAACCCTCTGGGTTCTAAATACCAACCAGCTAAAATGTCTGCATTCTCTACTGGTCCCTAGTAGCCATTGCAGTAGATGGGTGACCAGGATATGTCTCAGTTTGGGGTTCAGGGTTCAGATTGTAGCTGTGAGATGGGACCCATGAATCTAGCACTGGCATGTGTGTCTTGTGTATGCACTTATGTGGATGTTTGTGTGCTTTTGTGTGTCTGTGAGAGTCTGTGCCAGTGTGGTCATGTGTCAAGGTTAGTGATCTTTCTGTGTTTTCTTCTCCAAGAAAACTGCCGAGGCTTTCTAGGGCTGTAGAATGCCTGTGTGCCCATGAATGCCTCAGCCTCCAGAGGCAGCAGCTCGAGGCCTCGGTCCACCTGTGCTCCGGAGCTGAGGAGCAGTCCACAGCCTGGTGCAGCTCTCCTGAGATACGCATCTTTCTGGCTGGGGGGACACTCTACCCTTGGAAGCGCTTGAGTTCAAGTTCACCGCTCAAGCACAAGCAAAGAGACGACACAGCAATGCAAGACGAAGAGAACATGCATAGCTTTTGCACTGGCTGTTCCCTCTGCTTGAAAAACCCTCCTCCCAGTCTTCTCATAGCTGGCTCCATCTTATTATTCAGACTTCAGCTCAAATATTGCTCTTCTTAGAGAAGCCTCCTCAGAACATTCCACAGCTGCCTGAAGCTGGGCGGTTTGTGCATCACAAAAGCATTGAGTGGGGCTGAGGTCCTGTTCTGCTCATCCAGGCTTTCCCAGGAGAAAGGCTCTGAAGGACTGGCAGGAACCTTGGACATCGTATCTAAATTAGCAACCGCCCCCCCCCATGTTGTCTGCTTTTGCCTTCATAGCCAGAGTCAATGCTATCTGAAATTATGTTTCACAAACTTGAAATTATCTTATCTACTTGTTACAGGTGTCCTCCCACCAGAATGTAAACCTGATGCGTGTAAGGACTGTTTCTGTCTTGTTCCTTATCGTCCTCCCACTGCCTGACACATAGTAGGTGCTCAGTAGATATGTACTAATGAGTACCTTCTCTCTCCTTATTTTGGGGAGCTGTACGTTCTTACCGGTATTTTTATTTTAGAAATAAATAGCTCCTTAGATCAGTTAGTTTACATTTAAGGAAATGGAAGGTGGTAGTGAAGGGGACAGGGAGTGAAAGACTCTGTATGGGCACCCAGCTGGTTAGTAGCAAAGCTAGACCTCGAACCCAGGACCTCTAGGCCAGGGCACTGGCCACCATAAGACTTGACCAGCCCTTTGTCTGGCCCTCAGCCTCTGGCACTGGTGGTGCCAGCTACAGCTGACACCTGTTTTGCCCCTGGCTCAAAGCTGAAAAGAGGGCTGGAGCTCCTTTTGAAGAAGTGGGAAGAGACTCTGAATTAATATTGGTAAGTCACGCCAGAACTCTCGTGTGCACATTAGTATTATTGCCCCCCGTATATTCTAAAATAATCCCTGTAAATAATTATAAAAATAAATCCCAGTGACAATTTTATTTTATTTTATTTTATTTCCAGGAACACATTTATTCATCATAATCTCTTCAGGGGTAGGACAAATTGGAGCACTGGGTAGTGAATACAATTTGCAAATAGGCAATATAAGTAGAGAGAAAATTAATATGTATTCCTCAGTGCTCTAAAAGGAGAGGGAGAACATTAATAGCCATTTCCTTGCAGATATAACTTTGAAAATGTTATTTCTGATCCATCAGCGTGGGGCTCCATATGAGGAAAATGGTTACAACGTGACAAGAAGCGATTAGATGTGAAATGGCATCTTTCAGGCACTCCTCCCGTCTCTTCATCCTGTTCTCCCTGGGACATAGGAGGCGTCCAGTTTTGTTCTGTTCAGAAGATCACAGTTCTGGCTTGAGGTCAGCTGCTCATTTGTTGGGTGACCGTGAGCGAGTCCATTTCTCTCGCTAGGCCTTGGTTTCCTCATCGGCAGCCGGAGTAGATGATGTCTAAAGCAGTGAGTTTGGATGGTCGCAAATCTAAATTACTTGGAGGCACTGGAGAGAAATAGAGATGCCAGAGCACCGTCTACTGAGTCAAAATCTCATTTGCTGAGCTCCATATAGTTTAACTGAGGCTGGGAGAGGTTCCTCGACCTCTAAGTGGCAGAAACTTTCCAAGCCAGGCTGAGATTCTGAAAGGTTAGCTGGGGCTTAGACACTGCTCCCTTCTTCCCCACTGGACAAGATAAAGTTGAGCAGGTTCTGGTGGGGAGGGTTCCCTTTCCCTCTCACAAATCCATTATGAGCCCCTCTCCCCAAGTCAGAGATGACTCCTCTCCTGACCCCAGCTAAGGACTTGGAGTATTTGGCAAGTTCCAGGCAAATTGGGGAATAAGATTTGTTTCTCATTGCTGTTTTCTGGATTTGTGAAAATAATGCTAAGAAATTAACAGATAGCAGTTTCATTTGTCAGTTCTTTTTCCCCTGCCTTTTCCATGCCAGTCTCCTCCTTTCTTGTTTTTAATTACGAAAGTAGTATTTGCATGTGGTAAAAATCACAGAAGAGCAGAAGCCCCTTTCCTACACACCTTTCTCAAACCTGTACCCTTCCCCACTCTTTAACATTTCCATTTTAATAGACAACAGAACCTTTTAAGATCTAAAGAGAAGGGAAATCCGAGGCACTGAGAATAATAGTAATAATAATTATTATCATAGTAAATAATAACAATAAACTAACAGCTGTGTGATGAATACTCATGCCAGACATTATGATTGCATTTAATATACATTAAAAAATTTAATTGTTCCATTTGGGAGAGCGGGGAAGGTGTTTTGGAGTAAAGACCATCCTCAATCCCCTCACACGTGTGCACCTGCTGCAGAGAGGGCCCTGAAAAGGGTTTCTCTTTCCTACACTTCCTGAACTCCTTCTTTTAGGCTGAAAGGAGGCTGCTCTAGCAACAAAGAGCATTTCGTATGTAGATATTCAAGGTTTTTTTTTAATTGAAATCTGAATGTGGTTAGTCTGAGCTGGGGGCTGGGGCATGATTAATTACAGCAACCATCTTAAACTACCCAGGGGCTGGGCCTGAAAGAAATGAGGCCAGGCTGACTAGAAACTCAGCTTAGAAGAGGTAGGAATGCTAATAAAACTTTAACTGGCCCTATCCTTCTTTTCAGCTGCTGATGCATGGAGGTGGAAGATTTAAGCAATCAGTTCCTGTTTCGCTGGTGCTGGCCGACCCCAGAATCAACTCCCTTGATTGGAAATAAACAGGATCTTCCTTTTTGTCTCCAGGAATGTGATGGAGGAAGGACTCTAGGGGAAAAGGCCTCTTTTGCCAAAGAATCATAATAATAACAAAGATGACAGTAGGAATAAAATATTGCCAGCTTCATCAAGGGTGATAAGGAGGTGTTTAGACGTGTTGAGCCTTCTTGCTCTCCATGTACGCCTGTTAGAAATCCAGAATTCAGCCCAGGTTTGATTGGAACTTTCATTCTGTGATCCTCATAAGTAAATTATACAAATTAGGCTACACCTCTCAGTTTGGGTTTCAGAAAATAGAATCACAATTACCACACTTCATTTGACATAGTCCTGTAAATGTCTGGACATGAACCTCTCTGGAATGGTATGCCTTTGCTGTGTGTACCCCCAGTGCCTAGTGCCCAGCACAGTGCCTGGTCCTTGGGAGCTGGGGCAGTGGGGCTCTGGTGTAAAATGTGGTGAGGCAGGGGGCACCTGCAGCTCACTCTCAGTTGGCCACAGAATGAGGTGAGGGGATTGAGGAAGAACCTGGTTGACTGCATAAGCCTTCTCTTTCCCTCAGTGCTCCTGGCGCAGGGGCAGAAAGAGCTGTGTTCGGGGAGCAGCCCCAACAAGGCTTGTCTCCTCTGTTGACTCTTGTAAACTCCTTACATTCCAGAGGAATCATGTGCCCACTTCTGGGCCAGCTGTATCTCAGCATTTGCTCTCTCCCCTCCCGAAGGGTGGGCTATGTTACCTGAAGAACCTTACCTTTTGCTATTTCTATTTAATTTTCCTTGATGCTCAGGGTGATGAGGTAGAGAAGAAAGTCCCTGTCTCCCTCTTCCAATCTTCCTTGGTCCAGAGATACGGATTCTTTTTCTCCTTCTCCTTCTCCTTCTTCCTCTGTTCTGAGGACTAACTTCCGACAGCTGAGCCGAGTAAGGAGGGGCGAATCCAGTCTGTTTCTAGAGGAGGCTGCCTCCACTACATTCAGCACATTTTGATTCTGCTCAAGAACTTTCAATAGCTCCCTATTGTCATTAATTTACATTTCCAACCTTAAAGCCCAATCTAACCTGAGCTATCCCAAACTTAATTTTTTTTTGTGATTTCCCAATTCTATCTCACACACAGTCAATTGGCCTTCCTGATGTGTTCACCTAGTAGAGACAGGAGTGGGTGGGGAGGCATTCTAGGCAAAACTAACAACTACAAGCCAAGCAGAGGATGGGAGAAGTAGGAAAGGAGGCAGGAGAGGTAAAGGTTGATGGGGTTCTAAAAGATCTTGAGGGACATACTAGAGATTTTGGACAGTATTACTGGTTCATTGGGAGCTGCCGAAAAATTTCAGGCAGGGTCCAATTAGGCTTTTAGAGTAATCGCCCTGAGGCTAGGTAGAGAAGGGAACAGCAGTTAGGCGGTCTGGAAAGGTGGAAAAGATCCCTGGTCACTTTGGTGTCATTGGTGGATAGGGTTTGCAGAACAGTCTGTGCTCAGAAGACACAGCCACGTGTGGAGGCAGGGGCACGGATAAGATGACGTCAAGCACCCTCCTCCTGGTGAGGGGTGGAGCTCCAATTTCATCTCTGAGTAGGTTTCAGTTTGTTTGCACATGTCCTCTCCTGCTGGTCAAAGCCCTTCTAGGAATGCCAAGGTGCCTGGAGAGGGCAGAGTCTCACTTCCTCCTTTTCAGGCAGGAAAGGCAGACAAAAGTGGACAATGGACCAGAGAGGGTGTGTCCAGCAGAGAAGGGGGAGGAGCGTGAGGAGCTGGCCGGGGGCAGGATGCCTCGGAAGATTCCCTTTGATCCCCCTTATCTCTGGAGGGCAAGCTTTCTTTTTTGGCCTGTGGGACCTTTTGTTGCATTTCCTGGAACCCCTTAAAGTAAACACAGCCAAGTCTGTGTTCTTACAGCTCCACTTTGCTGTGTCCTCTCCTTCCAGCAAAGAGAAGGGCAGGCAGGTCAACAACCCTCAAAGGTCAACACGGCTCAGAATGCTGACAACAAGGGCTCCTGTTACACTGTGTTGGCACCAGGCCTGAGAGACAACCGTGATAGCCACAAGGTGCTGAACCACCATCATAATCGTTGCCATCTACTGCACAAAGCTTTTTAAGTGCTGTTTAGACAGAACAATGAAAAGCCTGTGAACAACCCCTTGATGGAGGTGGGAAGCTACAAGTGTCAATAGGCTTAATGAGCTGAGGTACCTGCAGTGCCTGTGAGACCTGGAGTCTGGCACATCAGGACTCAGTTTTTACCTTCTCTCTTTGAATGGTGCCTAAACCCTTTGGTATGAAGGGAGCAGCATGGAGAGGCCAGTAGAGGCTGGGCTGGCTCTCAGCTGCAAATGGGGACTGGGGATAATATGACATCAAATTGGTGTCAGGTAATAGCTTTGTGCATCCTGGGGATGGAAGTGTGAAAGCAAAAATAGGGATGGAGAAAATTAGAGTCCTTTCAGTTGAGGACAGGCATGAGTTTCCATTTACCTGCCTGCTGGGCCTAACTCATCCAGACAGGAGGCGACACCGGCTACCCCTCACTCCCAGATGAGGGGAACGTGTCTCTGTGTGGGGCTGACTCCATGGATGATTTACAGCCTCACAAATACCTTTCCCCCGTGAGAAGAGAGAATAAGGGACACCTGAAATTTGGGGACATCTTTTCACGCTTCTTCCCAGAGCTTATTCCTGTCAAGTGGGGGTGCTATTAGCTGAGCCAGCGATTTATTTACAGAAAAACTCAATTCCCTCCTGTTTCCCACGCAAGTAGAAACTCCACCTCACCAGGTGAGTTTTCAACCTCTCAACTGCCCTCTCTTCCCTCAAAGATGGGGAGAGGAGTTCCCGCCAAGACGCCCCTCCCCCCTGCACTTGAGGACGGTTATGTAACCCGGATTGTGACAGAGGAAAGACCTGGTTCTCCACACCGCTGGCTAACGGCTAGGATGGGAAGTCCTGATAGGAGACCTCCCTCCCTCCTCCCCCCACCCCCCCGGGGGCGCCCCCACCAAC